TATCCTGTTGAAGATTTTTTAAACTGTTTTTCAGAATTAACTAAAATGAACTGAGGGTCTAGTAGCGGCCCAAGTGGTAGGATAAGTATTTGAAACATGTTATTTTCACCAAAAATATTCTCACAGCACTCACGGGGGCTTTTTTTTTTTTCCTTTAAAGCCAATAACCCCACTACCCAAATAACCTCTACTGATAATGATTTCAAGCATTGATCAAAAATTCAAATGATATTGAAAGACATAAAGAGTAAAAGCCTCCTTCTGGCCTAACCAAACTCTTCTCCTTATCGGTAGCCAGCATTGTTAGTTTTATCAGGTGAAATTCCAGAAAAATGTTTCATGCATGTACACATGCACCATTTTTATTTACACCAAAAGGGACTCTATCACTTTCTTTTCACCTGCTAAAAGATATTTAAGTAGTCTCTAAGTGTCTACTATTAAAAATAATACTGCTTTCTCTTTTTTCAATCATTCTAGTTAATAAATTGAGAAGTGCTAGAGTATCATTTTGCAGCCCCTAATGAATTAAAAGATCAAACCATTAAACATCAACAGATGTTATCTCAGAAAAGGAAGCAATCAGACATTGTGGGTTTCCTAATAGAAAGGAAAAAAAAAATAGCACCACTTACATATCAGTCTTGTCAGGGAGTGAAAAAGTGAAAAGAGGGACAGGAGATCCTGATAACCTACCCCACAGGGAAGCCAGCGGCAAAATCCCAATTGGAAAACTCAACAGGAAAAACAACCCAGTCTCTCCAACAAAGAAACTAGACGGAAAAAAGAGATGAATGGCAAACAGATATTAGAGTTGAAAGACATGTCAACCAACCATTGTATATAGAACTTATTGGGTTCAGATTCAAGCAAAGCATTTCTTCAAGCTGTGACATTCAGATTAATTTTAACACCAACCGGATATTTGATGAATTGAGGAACTATTGTTAATTATTTTCGATGTGACTTGCTATTGTGGTCCTTATCTTTTAGAGATACACAAAGAAATATTTATGGATGAAATAATACGGTATCTGGGATCTGCCTCAAAATGATACAGGACAGACAGTCTTAAGTTTGGTAATTGATCGAGTTGGATAACGAGTACCTTGCCCTCTCTGTATATGTTTTAATTTCTCAGTTATCAAGAATTAAAAAATACAGGGATACCTGGGTGGCTCAGTCTGTTGAGTGTCTGTCTTCGGTTCCTGTCACAGTCCTAGGGTCCTGGGATCAAGCCCCACATCAGGCTCTCTGCTCAGCGAGGAGTGTACTTCTTCTTCTGTGCGCTCTCTCTCTCAATAAAGAAATAAAATATTTTTAAAAAAGAATTAAAAATACATTTTAAATAAAAAGTTGCTATTTACCATCCCTGCATGAATATCTTGAAGTCTTTTGTTTTGTATTTGTATATGAAAAGGGAATTACGATAGTTATTGTTATATTACCCACTAAAACATTTGCACCACATTCTTCTGCCACTAACAGTGTATAAGACTACCCCATTTCTCTAGCCCTAACCAGCACAGGGCATTAGTAAACCTCTACATTTGACCAGTTATAAATCTCACAGTCCCTTCGGAATCTCACGGTCCCCTCTGAGCACCGTGTGGCTGTTATCAGCCTGGAAAGCCTGATGGGGCCATTTCTACATTCAGGGAAGCCCCATTGCAGTGACTGGATACTCATTTGAGGATCAAGATGCCATCGGCTCCACAAGGTACTTGAATAGACATAGAGCCTGTGGTCCCTGAGATGGGCTTTCCTGTTTTCAATGCCATTTGGCTCCTTTCTGTCTCCCAGCAGACCACCTGGTACCTAACAAATACTCAACAAATTACTGAATGAAAAAATGACATAATGAGATCATATCTAGCAATGCTTAGGAGTCAGGGAAGAGGAATGGTCCTAGAGAGTCTTTCTTACAGAACTTAATACTATCACTATCAATAGATACTTAAAAACTTTTACAAAATTAGTAAATACAGATTTCCCATCACCCATGTGAATGATGAAATGTAGTCTCCCCAGGCACGGGGACAGTCTCCCAGTTTAGGGTCACTTACTGAGAATTAAACAGAGCTGGCCCTCAGGCTTACCCTCTCTGTGGTCAATTCTGATTGGACATATTGTGAGCTATGCGGTCCCCAGACGGCGCTATGAAGTCAAATATGGTATAAGAATTACTGATAAAGTTTTACATTTTTTGTTTCATTTATTTTCTTGTGAAAGCCCAACTGAGGCAGTGAGGGAGACCACTGGAGGTTTATGAGCAGGTGGGTGATGAGATCAGCTCTGTGCTTGGAAGGCTGCGCTAGCTGTGGAACCTGGAATGAATGTGAGAGGTGCGAGCCCAGGAGAGGGGAGGTGTAACCCTAACACTTTCTCCCATTTGAACAGAATATATTTGTGTATAGGTCTCATGCCCCATCTGAGATCCTTCCCAATTGAGGGCAAAAAGTTTATTGTGTTCATCTGTGGAACTATCACGATACAAAATTGGAGTGTATTACAAAGTGGAAGAACTGGAATCCAGCTATCCATCAGCGAGTGAACAGAGGGCACCTGGGTGCTCAGTTGGTTAAGCATCTGCCTTGGGCTCAGGTCTTGGTGCCAGGGTCTCGGGATCAAGCCCCTCATCGGGCTCCCTCCCTGCTCAGCGGGAAATCTGATTCTCCCTCTGCCCCTCTCTCTGCTCATGCTCTCTCTCTGTTTCAGAAGTAAATAAATAAAATCTCTTTAAAAAAAAAAAAAAAGGAATTTGAGTGAAAGAAGCCAGACACAGAGGATACATGCTGTAGGATTCTAGTTACATAAAACTTTAGAAGTCAAACTATCTCTAATAGCAGTGGTTATTATATATAATAACCAGTGGTTGCCTGAGGGCAGGGATGGGGGCAAAGTAGGTCATTGGTGAAGGGGGCAGAGAGAAGAATTATGAAGGGAGACTAGGAAATTCTGGGGGTGGGGTGATGCATATGTTCATTATTTTCAGTGTAGTGATGTTTTCATTGGTTTATAATGTATGTATGTCAAAACTTAGCAAATTACACTTTAAACGTGCAGTTTATTGAATGCCAATTATAACTCAATAATGTTTAAAAAAAAAAGTACAGGTGGATATGGTAGAAAAATGAAGGAAGGAAGATAAAAAAAAGAAGGTGTCACTTGAGCTGGAAGATAGAGCTTTGGCTTGAAAGAATGCTCTGGCCAAGCCAGAAGGAAGGGGCAGTCCAGTCCAGACCTGAGCAAAATGGGCTTAGTGGAAGGTGAGCAGACCCTTTTCAGGAGAGCAGAAAACCTCCCTAACCTCACAGGGGACCAGTAGGAAACAGGCTATAAAAGCAGGGAGAGGTGGATTCTGGAGAGTTTTGAATATCAAGGTTTTTTGTTGTTTTGTTTTGTTTTGTTTTGTTAGTTTTCTCATTTTGTTTTGTGTTTTAGGGGCCGGTGGAGAGGGGCAGAGGGACTGGGAGACAGAGGAGAATCTTAAGCAGGCTCTGCACTGGGCATCCCAGGCTCGATCTCACAACCCTGACATCAATGACTTGAGCAGAAATCAAGAGTCAGACGCTTAACCAACCGAGCCACCTGGGCGCCCCTGAATATCAAGCTTTTTTTTTTTTTTTTTAAGATTTTTATTTATTTATTTGACAGAGAGAGAGAGATCACAAGTAGGCAGAGAGAGAGGGGAAGCAGGCTCCCTGCCGAGTAGAGAGCCCAATGCGGGACTCGATCCCAGGACCCTGAGATCATGACCTGAGCCAAAGGCAGAGGCTTAACCCACTGAGCCACCCAGGCACCCCGAATATCAAGCTTTTTAAAAGCATACATTGGACTGCAGTTCCATCACTCACTTCCCCACTGATCCGGGACAAGTTCACTTCTCTGACACTCTGTTTCCTCCAACTATAAAATAAGGATGATAATAGCAGAACCTACTTTCACAGTGGTTGCGAAGATGAAATGAGGCAACGCAGGTAAAGCCCTCGGCCGAGGACCCTGGAAACAGTTAAGCGCTCAGTAAGTAGAAGTAATTATTATTATTATAACAATGACTGTTATTAACCCCAACATAAGCAAATGTATACAGATGTCTGACAGGAGGAAAAAGTGATCAAAGAGGATCTTTAGGATTAAACTCACCATCCCTAAATTAGCTCCCCTCCGGAGTTAAAATTCCAAATTCCAAATTCATCTTTTCCCCCTTCCCCGCTCTACAACTTCCTTCCTAATAAACACTATGCCCAGATGGAGCCTGAAACCAATGACCTAGACTCTCTCATACTAGTAAAGGGATTCCAGCAGGTAAGTAAGTTGAGGTATGGCCTCTGGGTTGGAGAACCAGAACCCCCCAGTCCCAACCCAGGGATTTCAGCCACCACCACTGTCACCACCATAGATTTATACACAGGATGCGTCCTGAAGAGAATAAAGCAGGTGATATTCCTTCTAATTTTCATTTTAAAGCCTAAACAGTCCCCCTCCCCCACACCAAACTCCAGGGAGGGGTCCAAGGCTTCTAGAGATTGATCTTACTTTCTCAAATCCCCTAAACCCTGAACTAGGAGTTTATTCTCTGGAGCATCTGAAGAGAAGCCTCTCTGTGCCTCGGTTTCCTCATCTATAAAATGGGAGATAATAATGGTGACTATTTCATGAGGTTCTTGTGAGGATTAATTATGTGTAAAGGCCTAGACCAGTTGTCTGGTCCATGGTAAGTGCTCTATATATAACTTTTTTAAGGACTTCATTTCTTCTGTCTTGTTTATAATGCTTCTTATTTGCGGTCATGTCTTTTTAAGTGACTAGGCCTCATAACAAGCTACTTCAGCCCCAGTGCACCTCTTGGGTAGAAGTAAGTTTGGCCAATGGCTTATAAATAGTCATCCGCCAAGTCAGAGGCAAACAGCTTTTCCACAGACCCAGCAGTAGTTTTATCTAACTTCATTTAATGAGAGAATATATCGCAGATAAAAGGAATCCAGGCAAGCTTTTAAATTAATGGGTAATTTTATTAATAACAACAGCATCTACACACATTTGAAAACACATGTAGGAAACATAAGATTAATTCAGTTTACGATAATGTTTGGAGTCCACTTGGATTCGTGAAACCCTTAGGATCAACTCAAGGACCCCTTAGCCAAAAGTAGAGTTGAATAACTGATCAGACCATCAGTGTCTTCATCAGCAAAAATCAAGGCTTGGACAGAAGGAGTGAACATTCTGTAATTACACGAAATAAAACTAAAATGCAATTGTCTGCGCATTTAAGGATACAAAGGTGAACAATGTTAACTGCATGACCAGTGAACCAATTCCTTTGCTTTTCTCAACCTCCTTTGTAAAAGGGGTTATTTGGTCTTGACTGTCTTGCAGGGACTATCTTTTCAGGGCTTCCTGATAAGTGAGAAGATGAGTATAAATTAAAAGCTCATCTTCCATGGGGAACAGAGTATCAGGATGGAGATGGTGGGTGTCAGAAAAGGAGATGGGAAAAGGATCTTTCCAGCGACCAATACTCTGAATTTAATGAAAATCCAAAAGAGATTATACCACCAGAAGCATAATGGGAAAACCACCACAAACATCATTTTGGTGCAGAAAAAGAATCTTAACCTAGGCCTCCTCAGAGCTAATGCCCTGAAGGGACCCTGGACTGACTTGCCAAAGAGCTCCAAAAACATTTCTGTTTTCGTCTTCACATTTATCGAATGCAAATGAACGGCACACATCATCCACGGAAGCGATTAAGAAAGGATTGGGGTGGGAAAATTAATTTGACAAATTTTAATTAAGAATTTAAGTGTCCACCATGTGCCAGGCAGACTGTCGCTGATAATTTAGCAGAAAACCAGACCAACAAGTCTCTGTTAAGGGCTTGAGGAGAAAGACCATAAATAAGAAAATAAACGAACCGGACAATTTCTGACAGCTGCTAGGAGGAAGAGAAAACAATGAGATCAGATGATAGGCAGGAACGAGACGCAAATTCCTGAGTGGGACGTGGAAAGGTCTCTGAGAGGTGACTTTTTGAGCCCAGCCCTAAATGACCAGCGCCTTGCAGTGACGCAAGGCCGGGGCGTTCCGAGACTAGAGAATTAAATGCAAAAACGATCCACAAACCAAGAAATAATTGGGATGTCAAAGCCCCGAAGCAAGTGTCGGAAACCAGAATCTGCGAATTCCGGCGAGGGCGCGCGATTTTGAATATTCATGTCGTCCAATCAGGGAAAGGCTAAGACCCGGCAGCGCAGGCTCCACCCTCAGTGCCCAGACCGCTGGTATCCACCGGAGGCCACACAGCAGGGCAGAAGTGGTGACTGGACGCCCGCCCCTGCCAAACGCTTGGGAGAATTCTTCAAGGCTCTGACGCAATGCTCTCAGGACCTGGGTTTAGTTGTTCTGGGGCCCTCCTTAGAAGTGAGGATGACCGAAACCACTCGTTTCGTTTTAGAACACCGATGAAACGTGCACCCCACAGTCACCAGGACATAATAGTCTGGGGATGGAAGTTGAGAAGCGGATTTTCAATATTCTTATTCGAAAAGGACTTGTAAGAAAAGTAAGCCCCACAGTTACAGGGTTAAGACGCGCCCCAGATAAAAGCAAAGGCAGTCACGCGCCAAGGATCTCAAGTAGGCTTAAAAAGCTACTTGTACCATCTTCCAGGATCTTTCACAAGTAAAATAGCTTACTTTGTGAGAGCAAGTGAGGGAAAATAAGTGAACAAAGCTCTTTTCTGGTGATTAGGTGGGTGGCTCTGAAAAGAGCCTTTGGAGTCAAGCGGCCGGCGACTCATGCGAGCGCCGTGTCCCGGCAGGGACTCACTTGGAGCTGGTGTACTTGGTGACCGCCTTGGTGCCCTCGGACACGGCGTGCTTGGCCAGCTCGCCGGGCAGCAGCAGGCGCACGGCCGTCTGGATCTCCCGCGACGTGATGGTGGAGCGCTTGTTGTAATGCGCCAGGCGGGAGGCCTCGCCGGCGATGCGCTCGAAGATGTCGTTGACGAAGGAGTTCATAATGCCCATGGCCTTGGAGGAGATGCCGGTGTCCGGGTGCACCTGCTTGAGGACCTTGTACACGTAGATGGAGTAACTCTCCTTGCGGCTGCGCTTGCGCTTCTTGCCGTCCTTTTTCTGGGCTTTGGTGACAGCCTTTTTCGAGCCCTTCTTGGGCGCAGGAGCGGATTTTGCCGGCTCAGGCATTATAAAACACCAGACGCCTTAGCAAAGAAAAGAAGTGCGAGAATGGGCGGGCCTGATCCTTTTATAACCACCGTATGCAAATTAGGGCTCCAAAAGCCCTTCGTTTCTATTGGACCTTGTAGGAACCTTGCGTTATCAGCAATGACTACGTAACAACACCTACTCTAGGCCTCATTGGCCAGTTCTGGAGCCAATTTAGGACCAATGAAAAGCTCGTTCATGACCCCACCCCTAGCAAAGCTTATAAAGGCTTTTCCATCAGAGCCATTTCAATTCTGTTTTGTTGTGAGGTTCCGTGCTTTGGGTGTTTTAGCCTCACTGTCAATCATGTCTGGTCGTGGCAAGCAAGGAGGCAAGGCCCGCGCCAAGGCCAAGTCGCGGTCGTCTCGCGCCGGCCTGCAGTTCCCGGTGGGCCGAGTGCACCGGCTGCTGCGCAAGGGGAACTACGCCGAGCGGGTGGGGGCGGGCGCGCCGGTGTATATGGCGGCGGTGCTGGAGTACCTGACGGCGGAGATCCTGGAGCTGGCGGGGAACGCGGCCCGAGACAACAAGAAGACGCGCATCATTCCCCGCCATCTCCAGCTGGCCATCCGCAACGACGAGGAGCTCAACAAGCTGTTGGGCAAAGTCACCATCGCCCAGGGCGGCGTCCTGCCCAACATCCAGGCCGTTCTCTTACCAAAGAAAACTGAAAGCCACAAAGCCAAAAGCAAATAAAACCCTGACAAGCCAAAGACCAAAGGCTCTTTTTAGAGCCACCCAAGTTTTCAAAAAAAGAGCTAATGCGCTATTCCGTTATCAGCCCCTCCGTTGACGTTTTGGTGGCTCTTAAAAGAGCCTTTGGGGTTAGTGGGGACGGTCTCGACCTTCCTAATTACTTGTTCTTGCCAGGCTTGTGACTCTCCGTTTTCTTGGGCAACAAGACCGCCTGGATATTGGGCAGGACGCCGCCCTGAGCAATGGTGACACCCCCAAGTAACTTGTTGAGCTCTTCGTCATTTCTCACGGCTAGCTGCAAATGGCGAGGGATGATGCGCGTCTTCTTGTTGTCTCGGGCCGCGTTCCCCGCCAGCTCCAGGATCTCCGCCGTCAGATACTCCAGCACCGCCGCCAGGTACACCGGCGCGCCGGCCCCCACCCGCTCGGCGTAGTTCCCCTTGCGCAGCAGCCGGTGCACTCGGCCCACCGGGAACTGCAGGCCGGCGCGAGACGACCGCGATTTGGCCTTGGCGCGAGCTTTGCCTCCCTGCTTTCCGCGTCCTGACATTACGGCCAAAAATGCAGTCACAGCTTCTTATTCAAGGAGAAGGAAGTGGAAAGAATAACCAATTTGGTGTAATTTATAAGAGCTACCGGGAGGGGGTGAAGGAAAGTAGCCCAGTGAAACAGCCAATAGGAAGGCAGAAAGCAGCCTCTTCGTTTGCATCCTGCATTACGAGGAAATGACGGATTTCGTAAGTACCTACCAATCGCTGGGAGCCACATTAAAGCCCCTTATTTGCATGCCAGGATTTTTAAAGAAAGAAGGCTTTCAGACCAAACGCTGTTTTGTTTTGCCTTTTACTGAATGGCATTTTTTGTTTCCAGTTTAGAGAAGGGCGGAGGTCGTTTTCTCCGCCCCCCCCCTTCACAGAGCTAGAACAACAATCCTAAGAAGGACCCACAAAGTCTCCAGAGGGCCTCCAGCAAATTGCTCCCACTCAAGGATACGGATTCTGAAGCTGATTATCCCCTTGAGCTTTAAGTTACCCTCCAAGTCCCGCCTTTTCTGTCTTCACAGCCAGACTTCCAAAAGAATCTGTTACTAAGGCCGTCCGCTTTCTCTGCAATGGAATCGTGGCCTTTGGTGTGGCTTCGCCCCACCCCCGGCCGCCTACGCTCTTCGGAATCCACATAACCAAGGACTGGACGACATCTGTCTTCCTGCTCTTGACCTCCAGGAGGCAACCGATACCGCCTTGAAACTTGCTTCCTTGGCTTTCAAAATGTCTTCCGACTTCCCCCCATCCTGCTCCTTTTCCTCTGCCCGTCCCTACATTCCGGTGTCCGTCTGGGCTCTGCCTCCTACCCAACACTCCCCTCCACCCTTCACTCTTCCCAGGGAGTCTTCCCACTTCCATGCTTTCAATTGTAGACGTCCAGATCTGTTCCGGAAGCTCAGACCCTGACCCCAAACTGCTTACCGGGTACTTCAGCCCATTTGTCCCAACAGTTCGAACTATCCAAACGGCCCCAGTTGCCTCTGTGTGCTCTTTCTCTGAATACAACCTAAGCCAGAGTCTACCCTTATCTGCATCTCAACAGCATAACGGGTCACTTCCCTAACGTCTCTTCAGCCTTTTCTCCGTGTTCTTGCCTGCCTCCCCATTGCTCTCTTAAACTTCAGCAACAGCCCAGCAGACTTGTTTTCCTTCATCCTCCAGCCGCCTTCTAGAGAAATCTTTACTGAGAATCTTGTTTCCTTCTCCTCAGCTTCCCACCCTGGAGTGTTCTATACCCCTCACACCATTTGCACCCTAGAATGTTACAAAGAAAAGACAGGGCGCCTGGATGGCTCAGAGGGTTAAGTCTCTGCCTTCAGCTCCGGTCATGTGATCTCAGGGTCCTGGGATCCGTCCTGCATCAGGTTCTCTGCTAAGCAGGGAGCCTGCTTCCTCCTCCCTCTCTGCCTGCCTCTCTGCCTGCCTCTTTGCCTACTTGTGATCTCTCTGTCAAGTAAATAAAATCTTAAAAGAAAAAAAAAAAAGAATACACTTAAACCCTCTTCCTTGAGCCCATTTCAGATGTTCTCTCTTTCATCCTCACCTTTATTGAACTGACCTTTATCAAGTACGGTCTACCTGCAAGGCAAAGGGGATAAAGATAGCTGAAACTGGAAAATAGAGGAAATCTAAACGCTGGAAGTTAAAATCAGCTATCTGTAAAGATTATCCCTGGTAGGAATACTGGTGTAGATTTGTGAAACACCCACGTCCAATCAAAGGTTTTTTCAATAGCAGAACGTACCCGAAGGTGATTCTAACCCCATCAGCTGTATCACGGTAGAAGATGCATGTGTTAATAGAAAGAGGTGGTCCACACAGAGTCTCAACAGGGCAATTACAGTAGGAATGTGTTGTTCTTCCAGCACTAAGAATGTATATTTATATGTCTGCTAGACACGAAGGTTTAGGCTATTACAGAAGGGTCCTTGGGAAAAGCTCAGCCTTTTCTCACAACCTGGGTGAAATAGTTCCGACTGTCTCTCTTAGCTCAGATTCTAGGTTCAATTAACCACTTTCCGATTATCCTACTCCAGATACAAATATGAGACTGAGAAGGGGTGAGCCAGTTATGAGAAGATATATCACTGGAGGGTAATGACCTTGCATTCTAGACTATTCATAAGTTTCTTGTGTGTTTTGGTACTGTAAGTTCTCTCCCCAGTGAGCCAGTACCCTCTGGAAGTTCTGATCGTGTCAACTTTTCAGACCTATAGGGTCCGAACCCAGAGAGTGGGGACCCCACCACAACTCTGGCACCTTGAGAGGCCCAGCTTGAGGGGACAGCTGACCTCCCCCTCTCTTTGACCTCTGGTCTCATTTTTACTTCTATGGCAGTGACCCGCTGCTATTAGGAAAGGTGAAGGCCAAAGAGATTGTACGGAACCTTATTATGTGATAAGCTCTACGCTAGGGGCTACCTGTGACAATTGTTTGTGTCACAGATAAGGAAGGTGAGGCTCAGAGAAGTTAAAGCGCTTGCTGAAGGGGACACAGCCATTTACTGAGACGTGATCTGAACTTGGGTCCGCCTGACTCAAAACCTGTGCTCTTCAGGGCGTTCACGCGGCCTCACTCACTAGGTGTTGGGCTGCAGGAGGCCACTTCACTTACACAGCCACTCTTTCTTCCTCTATTAAACAAAGTAAGAGAATGAGAGAAATTAGATTTAGTACATGAGATTCCATCCAGCTATAAAACCTTATTAGATAAGTCTAGATAGGCCAATATCCTACAAATTATACGAGGCTCAATTACTGTCTATCGCTCCCCAGAGCTCTTTGCCCAGCGCTCTTACCAGAGCTAGTAAAACAAGAAATAGAGCAGGCCATCCGTAAAAGTAGTGCAGCATCACAAACAGGCTGGCTCTTAGTTCCTTCAACAAAAAGGCAACTGGGATTTTTTTTTTTTTAAAGATTTTTCTTGTTCTTTTTCTTTCTTTCTTTTTTTTTTTTTTTAAGATTTATTTATTGAGAGAGAGAGAAAGCACAAGCAGGGAGGAGAGGGAGAAACAGGATAGAGAAGGCAACTGGTATTTTTAGACCAGGCAACTCAGTTCCTTTCCAGGCAGTCTAGTTAATCAAATATTTATTTTGTCTTCTGGCTCCATTCCACCATGTTCCTCTTCCTTACCCTCTACCGCCACCTCGCTCAGCGCCACCCTCAGCATCCTGCATACTGAGCTGCACACCGTTCGAGCAAGGCCTGTCCGCAGTTACCTGCCATCGCGCGTACAGTGGCCTCTGGCTAGAATGCTTTGTCCTCCTCTTGACCTGGCAGAACCCTCCCCGTCCTTCCGGGTTCAGCCCAGATACCACCTGCTCCTTCGTGAGGTCTTCCCTTCCCACACACACCGCCTCAGTGTGTACCCCCTCTCTGTTTATATCCTGGTGCTGGCACTTACCACTCCGTAAGGTGCTTTGACTTTGCTCTCACTTCCTTTCTGTGACCACCTCAAGGGAGAGACCATGTCTTTTTTGAATCTGCGTCCTTAATTCCTTCTATACCTGGCTCTATCATTAAATGTTTTTGGCATGAATAAATGGCATAACACTCTTAGAGAATTAGCATCTTCTTTTCAAAAATCTTTCTCTTTACTCAACAAGCACTCTCCAAATGCCAACTATAAACAGTACGTGGCAATAGCCAGAGTGATGGAAGATAGACCAAAAGCTCGTCAATTACACAAAAATACATCCAACCATAATAGAGTTGTTAGAATAAATGAGAATAAACATAAAGAACCTAGTACAGGGCGCCTGGGTGGCTCAGTGGGTTAAAGCCTCTGCTTTCAGCTGAGGTCATGATCCCAGGGTACTGGGATCGAGGCCCACATCGGGCTCTCTGCTCAGCAGGGAGCTTGTTTCCCTTGTTCTCTCTCTCTGCCTGCCTCTCTGCCTACTTGTGATCTCTGTCTGTCAAATAAATAAATAAAGTCTTAAAAAAAAAAAAAAAAGAACCTAGTACAGAGCCTGGAACCCGAGAGGGCCCAAAGCTGTATTAGGAGGCTGAAAAGGTTAACAGCTAAGAGCCCAAATTCTACAGCCTGACTCTGCACTGCTTTCCGGATCTGTGACTGTGGGCAAATTACCTCTCCTCTAAGGGTCTCTACTTCCTCACTGGTAGAACAAAAGTAATAATAGTAGCTACTTCATGGGGGTTAGAACAGTACCTAGCACCAACATTAACAGGGACATCCCCAAAATTCTTTGGACTGATTTATCATTTCAAAAATAAACATTAGGTTTATCAGATAACCTAGCAATTCCACTCCTGGATATACATAAGCAAACAGAAATGAATGCATGCAACAAAGAGCACATACCGGAATGTGGTATATTCGTATCCCGCCATACTACACGACAGTGGGAACGAGCAAATTGCCACCGCACCACCAGAGACAATATTGGATGAAAGAATGCAAACACAAATGAATTCATGCTATGTGGCTCTTTTTATATGAAGTTAAAAATGGCAAAACTAATCTATGGTGATAGATGTTAGAATAATGGTTACCTGTGGCGGGGTGGTATTGACTTCCCTGGAGCCTTCTAGGGTGCTGGAAATTTTCTGTATCTTGATATGGATGTATTCATAAGGAGAATTAAACTGTATATTTATAAATTCCTTATGTGTAAATTATACACCAATAAGCACAAATTAAGATTTCCAAGAACAAATATTGAAGTAATCACCATGGAGGGAAAATGAGTATTTTGCAGGACATCCAATCCTCATGTTACAGATTAGTGTTTACTGTTTTTTTGTTTTCTTTTCTTTAATTACACATGAGGTGGCCACCCAGGCGCCCCTTTCTTGGTGTTTAAAGCCTCTAAAAGTCTCAGTATGGCCATGACAAACCTTCACTACATAGTAGATATTATGATTATGTTTTTATTAGAAACAAAGACACTAAGCTTGCCCTATGGAGTTTGCAATTTACAAAGCTTTTACAAAGCTTTTGTTCACTTTTGCAACAGAAACAATGATGTCATCAGCCCTCTCT